TGAGGCACCATGGAGAGGAATTTTGCTCGGGGATTTTGCTCAGGGATAACCCTCCTCTATGGTTACTGATCTCAAAAATGTCAAGTTGGGGTCACTTTAGTCACTGCCATCTGCAAATGAGGACAAAGGCCAGTCTGTGGTCAGAGAGGCCAGGGCAGGAGCTTGGGCTTAGGGAAGGTTAAGTTCATAAGGCATTAGTCTTGTAAAAATGGTCTTTAGCAGTGGAGAAAGTTTCAAATGAGAAGAGAAACCTGATAGACAGGCTTTTTATGTTTTTTTCTAGCTTACTGCAGAACATTCACGGGGAAAACTAATCAGGACTCCTTCACTTTTCCTTTCAGGAACCCTTACAACTAAGGGGTAGCCCATCACAACGCAGAACCCTCTTTTCTTTTCTCAGGCTGTGAAAGACTCAAGGCATCCTCAGAAGAAAAAAGGAAAGACAAAGAAAGATACCAGAAGCAAAAGGAAGAGAGGAAGAGAGAAACAAGGAGGGGCATTGAAGGGAGATTGCTGGCACAGATTCAGATCCATCGGTCCCTCTGTGAGAGGTGGCCTGTGCCCCCTTCCTATGAGAGGTCACAGTGGACTCTGTGTGCTGAGCCTTTGAAGTGATAGGCTTTGTGTACTGTTCACGACTCATCATTACCAATGAGGAAACCCAACCCCAAATGGAAAGAGAGAGAGAGATTGAGAATTTATTGGTTTCTGGGTCTGAAATTCATGGGGTCAGTTTTGAACAAAGCTGGCTCTAGATGCTTGAATGGATGCCAGAAATCAACCAATATCTCCACCATCCCCACCTCGCAGCTCTGCTTGGCTTTATTCTGTTGGCTTTATTCCTGGTCAGCCTCTTCTCCCAAGTTGGCAGAGGTGCCCCCTGGCCAAGCTACACTAATTCTATTGTTTTAGCAACTCCCGCAGAAACAGAACACCTCTTCCCCAGGGGTTGGGACAAAAATCCTGGAAGTGCCCCTGATGGGCCAGCACCTGCACCAGTCACCGAGCTTGGGAAAGACTGTGCTTCCGTTGGCCAGTCCTGAGCTCCGTGCACCCCTCCAGGGCCAGAAGTGGGAGTGAAGTCCCCCAAACCACATGGGTTAAGACGGGAGGGAGGGGTAGTTCCCCAAAGATACTTCGGGAGTGCTCTTCGTAAAGGGAGGGCAGGGCTGCAGGGAAAGCTAACACAAAGCTTCCCAGTGTATGAACAGAGGACCCTTGATGGTACTGGAATTCTGACTTTGAGATACACAAGTAACCACAGCACAGCCTCGCTGTCATGACAACCTCTCGGCCTTCACACAGGCTCCTTACAAGAAAGACAGCCTTGAACTCTCCCTCCTCAAGGGGAAGCCTCTGTCTGTATGACTTTGTTTCTGGCCTGGGAAGTGCTGATGGGTGCCTGGTGCCCATGGCCAGAGGGGAGAGCAGTATATGCACCCCAGGAGCTTGAAGGAGGTGAGCAAGCCCTGAGCACTCCGTGAGGTGGCTCATGCTGTGTCTGCACAGGGTTTGTACCACTTCTCCCACAGCCAGCAGGCCCAGTGGGGAATGTCAGTCATGGTGGTGTGTTATTGTGCCAGATGTCAATTGGGTGCTGACAGGAAAACTCCAGCAACCTGCTTATCTGGATGGCACCCTTGCTGAGAAAAGGGTCATTATCAGAATTATTCACACAGCATTATAACAGTTGGAAGTCTGCAGGTTATTCATTACATCAACCTCATTTTAGTCACTCCGGCACAGACTGAACCTCAAAGGAGCCTGCTCTTGCCTCCTCCCCCTTTGTCCTCCCTCAAGTCCTCCCTTTTCCTGGTGGTAGAAGCTTCTCCCTCCACCCACCCCACAAGAGGAGTGAGAAGTGACATTGGGTCACTTTCACGCATGATCTTTCTTGCTGCCCGGAATCTCTTTCTTGAGCTCCTTGCAGGAGTGTGAGCTGAGTTACAGGAGGAGGCCCCAGGAGACATCTGGAGGGAAGGGCCTGGGATGCTTCACAATTAAACCCATTCCTAGAAGGGGCCTCCTGCTGACTTTGGAATGAAAATGTCCAAATAGGTGATTTAATTGACCTGTTAAGTTTCAGGTCTGGTTCCCACAGCTGCTGCCTGCTTAACACACATCTTGCAAAGGAAAAGATGCACCTTCAAAAACCTGTAGACCCACCGAAACGTTCCCAGCTTGTTCACCTGTGCCAACCTTGGCCTCCGCCCTCACCACACCCACCCCTCCTGCACCTCCTCACCCAACAAGCCAGCACCTGCCATCCAAACACTCACCCAACCTGTGCTTCCCCATGCAGAGCCCAACCAGCCCGGCGGGAGCAGCTGTGGGAAAGAGATGGGAATAGAGAAGGTGGTTAGCAAGGTGGGTTCTTCATCACCACCACCCAGTAATAATACATAAGTATAATGTGCCCTGAACTTCAAGACAAGCATGAACTGGAGGAAGATCAAGGCTTGTGGGGAAGGGTGAAATACTTCTTAGCCTATTTATTGATTTATTTTTAAAGCTGTTTCATATATATATATAGTATTTCAAATAATGCGTTAGACCCAGCAGCCCTGCCCTGCCCCATCTCCATCTCTGAGAGAAGCTGCTCCAGAAAAATGGTGTCTTTGGAACACAGTGACCATAACGTGGCACACAAAAGCAGGGGCTCACTCAGTCCATTAACTTTTCAGGGTCTGAGTGGGGCAGATGCTCCCCTTGTTCTTACAGGCCCAGACGCCAGAGTCAGGATCTTGGGCCGGAAGGGCTCCCGGGACGTGTCCAGCCAACCTTCTGGTTCCCCAGAGCAGTGGAGGGGCCTACCCAAAGACCCGCCACCCGGGAGGTGCCCAGAGGTGGACTCTGTGTATGGGGTCCCCAGGGCCACAGTAGCAAAGCAGCACAGGCTGTGAGGCCTGCACAGCAGACACGTGCCGCCTCCCAGTTCTGGAGCCTGGCCGTACAAACTCAAGGTGTCAGCAGGGAGGGCTGCGTGGGAGAATCTGTCCCAGGCCTTTCTCCTTGGCTGGTACATAGACATCTTCCCCTTCATGTGATGCTGTTCCTGGTGTGTCTCTGTGTCCGCATTTCCTCTTGCACAAGGACATCAGTCATATGGGAGTGAGGCCTACCAGAGTGACCTCATTTTAGCCCGACTGCCCCTGTTAAGGCCCCATCTCCACATGTGGAGGCTGCTGAAGGCTGGGTGGAGTCCTGGGCCACCCCTGGTAAGGGTGAACTCCAGCCTGCAGGGTCTCCCTCTTCCCATTCCTCCAGGCGCCCCTCTGAGCTGCCCTGGGGGGTGGCCTCTGTAGTCCAGGTGGAAGCTGGGCACTAGCAAGTGGCAGCGGGAACTCTGTACCCGGGTGCTGGGGGTTGTTCGAGTCAAGAACAACTACTTAAGAACTTTCAGAACTCTGTCACCGTTTGCTTTACCCCCCATTTAACTGAGGATGAGGTGCTCTGTCTTCTTGAAAAAAATCAACTGATGGGCTGTCTTGACCTTTGGCCTTTGCGAATGGGAATGCATCGGTGACCACCTTTAGCTTTAAGTGAAGTGTCTGGGCAAGTGAGTGATACAACTTCTACCTTTTCTAGTCTCAGGCAAGGAAAAACAAACCACTTTTGCCTGAGAAAACTTCTGCCTGCCCTCCATTCCTTCCTCCACACCCTGGCATGCTTCACCCCCTCCACTTATTACTCCTGATCTGCGAGGTGCAGGCTCCTTCTGAGTTAGGTTCCTATTTCATCTTTCTGTTCATGAACATGAAGTACCCGTTTCTGAGAGGTGCCCAGCTATTTATTTCAGAACAGGCAAGTCTGAACACAGGCCTTCCAGCCACAGTAGGAGAAAGAAGTGGTAAATGTTCTTGGCTCATGTAGACAAGAGCCATGGGCACTGGAGTTCCAGAATCAGGGAGGAGAGTGTTCATTTTCAGAACAAAGTTCAGAGTCTCAGAGATCCTCTGGAGGGCCAGCCCTACCGGTGTACAAAGCAGGGGTTGCTACAGGTTTAAGGGCTTCAAGCAGGCTCTACTGCCCGCAGCCACTGTTCACATTATCACCCCCACCCCACCCCCACCACCAAATTACACTATTAGAATTTTTCTCCTTTGGCTCATCCAGGTTTTGCAGAGCCCTTTCCAAAGTGAAAATACTCTCAGGGAGTATTTTACCTTAGCAAGCAAGACGCTTCAAAATTGGAACACAAAAATAAAACTTCTCACCTTGGTCAGGCTGGGCGATTTTTGAGTTAGTGGGAGAAGTGATCAGAGGAAAACCGTTGGGCCCCACCAGTGAGTGGGAGTGAGGCACCATGGAGAGGAATTTTGCTCGGAGATTTTGCTCAGGGATAACCCTCCTCTATGGTTACTGATCTCAAAAATGTCAAGTTGGGGTCACTTTAGTCACTGCCATCTGCAAATGAGGACAAAGGCCAGTCTGTGGTCAGAGAGGCCAGGGCAGGAGCTTGGGCTTAGGGAAGGTTAAGTTCATAAGGCATTAGTCTTGTAAAAATGGTCTTTAGCAGTGGAGAAAGTTTCAAATGAGAAGAGAAACCTGATAGACAGGCTTTTTATGTTTTTTTCTAGCTTACTGCAGAACATTCACGGGGAAAACTAATCAGGACTCCTTCACTTTTCCTTTCAGGAACCCTTACAACTAAGGGGTAGCCCATCACAACGCAGAACCCTCTTTTCTTTTCTCAGGCTGTGAAAGACTCAAGGCATCCTCTCTGTCTGTGTGGCTAGGATGTTATAAAACCTGGGACCGAGTTCTTTAAACTGGGGAGGGGGGGTTTGAAAAAGGGGTGTGCCGTGCTGTGGAAGTTCGAGCACTCCCAGCTTTCACAGGTAACACTGACCTGTTCCCAGCAGCCTACAAACCAAAAGAGAGGGCTCCTTTGTGCACGGAATTTGCATCTGAAGCAAAGATTTATAGTGAATGGCCACCAGATGGTGTCTTAGTTCCCCTCAAGTTAATTTTCTGGCTTGCTTTGTTCCCTCCGCTAGGACTGACATTTCATGGGAAGAACAGTCAATGCCAAGGAAGATGGTGGGACCAAAGGAGCCACAAGTATTGATTTTATTTGTTCAACTTGACAAGACTCCAAGCTTATAAATGTGGGGAGCCACAGTCATTGACCTAGAGCTAATGTAAGTGCCTATTTCTTCACACAGTTAAAGTCGTATCAGCTCCCAACATGTATTTGGACCTGACTCAGTGTTAATTGCTCCCACCAAGCATGTTGATACTGGATTCTTAGCTGATTTCTAGCTTTTGAGGTGTTTGGGTGATCTAGCTGTTGGGAGAGATAAACTGTGCATTGTGGAACCATCTTTACAAAGCACACTGACTTTCTAAATAAATCATGTCAGCTTAATTTTGTTTTAATTATCTTCCAGAGAATGAAATAATTTTTTTCTTTTCCCTTAGGAAGAGAAAACAGGAATCCAATTTGGAAACTCAGTTCTAAATGAGCATAGTGACCTTCGTAATTTTCTTCTCTTTAGCAGATACTTTTACTGCTTTCTCCAAAGATTTTGCAGTTAGCCAAGATAACTGGTCTGACTTCTCTGAGTTACTATCCCTCCCCATAGATGCTTCCAGAATCTGGAGAGTGGTTGTGAGCTGATAGAGCAGTAGGGTAGAGGTACCAACAGTGACTTTGGAACTTGGGATCCTTGTACCCTCATGAAATAGCCCTGCTCACCTCCTTGAACTGCAGCTTCTTTCCTAAGAAGTGTTTGCTGTCTGGCTGCTATTGCCAGTTCTCTTACTTAGCACATATGTTCACACAGGAACCTTAGGAAGAATCCTCTTCTCCATCTTTTCCCTTTCATTCCTGAGTCCCTGGGTATCCATGCTTCATTTTCAGTCTCCAGGGTTTATCTCAGAGTAGGAGACAAGGGAGGCCATGGCTGGGCCAGCCAGGGTATCATTTACTCCATCAGCAAGGGAGTCAACCTTCTGAGAACAATTCCTGTAACTTCTCAGTGCCTGAAGTTCTCAGAGAAGAACATGGTCAGACCATCCTTATGTCTATGATTTATCCTCCCTGAATGTGCCATTTGCAGACTTGAAATACATTTCCCAAAACCGCAATCCCCTGGCTGTGCTTCTGTTACAAACCATGTCTCCATCTCAGCTAGCTAAGTTCAGTTTAATCTATTTTTATGTAACAAATGGGCTCTACTGGTCAGAGGCCTCACGGGGATGTCAGAGAGTGGGGTTTGGGTGTGTTCTTCACAGCAATTCTCCCTTTAAATGACTAAGAGCACCCACCTTGCTATGGCATGCATCTACTTCTTTGTTTATTTTGAAAGCTGATTCTAACAAGCCACTTGCAGAGAACATAAAGGTGTATTAAAGGAGCTAACAGGAACTGGTGGGTTGGGACCCCAGGTCTCCTGTCTTACCTGTCAACTTAGAGTAGCAGCATGCAGCTGATGGAAATAGGCCCATAGGAATCAGACCAACTGTTAAACTCTTGGCTCTCCCACGTGGAAGCTGTGTGGCTTTGCACCAGTTACTGCTGGGAACAAGTTCCCACTCTGTTCCCACGCCACCGTCAGAGAGGGTTAAGGGGGCAAAGAGGTCTTGGCTCTGAAGCCCTGGCAACCAGATTGCAAGTGTTGTCGCACGCCACCTGGTGGTGGGTCAAGATAAAGCAGCTTCCTTGGGAGAACACAATTTTATAGAGCAAGAGGGATTTTTTTAATGATTTAATCATGCCTCCTTATTGCCAGTGGAGGAAATTTAGGCTTACAGAGGATGACGCACTTGTCTGAGTTCTCACAGTGGTAGAGTGTGGTGGTTACGAACAAGCGTCCTGACGTCCCTTTGTCTGAATCCAGCCTTGGCAGTCAGGAGCTGGTGAAACCTTGGGCAAGTTTTATAACCCAGTGGCCAGCTTTCTTATCTATAAAATGGGGGAAATAAGGCTCACTACCTCAAGAGTTTTTAAGATTAAATTAAGCCACACATGTGGAAGTGCTTAGCAGTGTACCTGACTTCAGCCCTTCCAGGTACAGCCATTTATTTTTATTTATCATTTTCCTTTCAATGCATTTTCACTCTTCACATTTCTCATTTTGAGCTGAAAGTAGGAAGATGAAGGGTCCCAAAGAGCACTGGAGAAAGCAGCAACAGACATTTGGCTTTCAGACAGAACATTTGACTTTGGTCATTAAGCAAATGGAGAAAGGCAGTGACTTTCGGGGGCCACCATGGCTCAGATTCGTTACCTTGGACACCCCATCAATATCTGTCAGATGGGTGAAGGGAAAAGGAGCTGAGACAGGGCTGGTGGGCAGGAGTGCTCTTGTCTCAGAACACAAAGGCAGGGCAGGGAACTCAGAGAAAGTTGCATCTTACGCTGCGCACTGTGGCCCAAAAGACCAGCTGGGAACCTTGCAGCCCAAATCTCTCTGGCCTCCTCTGGTCCTGCAGCAGTGACATTTACAAAGCCTGCTTGCTTAATGGTACAGGTACGACATCCCTTAAATAAGTGTGCACACCTTTATCCTGCCCGTGGCTGGCCTGGCAGTTGTACTGAGAACAGGACAGGTGAACTGTGCCAGAAGCTGGGCCCCAACGAAGAAAGAAAGGAAATGAGTACCTTAACCTCTTTCTCCTCTTTCTCCCTAATCTACTAATGGTGCTTCCCAAGGGTCTGACCCAGGTCAGCGCTGGGGACAAAGAGCCTGGGTGACGCAGGCCAGGATTCAGCCTCACTGGCAAGAAGCAGCCCAGAAAATGGATCTGAAGGAACAGCAGAGAAGAACGCACCCAGCCAGTGGCTTACACATGTGCACAAGAAATTCCCATTGTTCTGTTATTGTATATTCAACTGTACCTCTCTCAGCTTGAAGAGGTTCTTTACAACTTCATCTTATGGGATTTCCATTGGTATTACCAAAAAAGAAAGTTTTCTCTTTCCCAGTCCTGTTCCCTGTTCTCTAAATTCCTGCTGTGGCTCACAACCAATATGCAGTGTGATTGTGGATATTACCAACTTAGATGGAAATGGAGAGAGAAGCAGACAAGTGAACCTTTCTAGAACATTCCTCACCTTTGCCACCTTCACTATGTTCTCAGGGGCCTGCCCACACTGCTAGTGCCCATGGAGAATTAAGGAGGGAAAGGTGGAAACAGAGGCTGAAGTGGGAGACTCACTGGGAGGAGAAGGGGAGGAAGGGAGGGTATTGATTGGTAGCGGACACCGTAGGCTTGGTTCCATATGATCTCTGTTTCCATATGATCACGGATCTACTCATTTGGCCAATTCATGTGTATTTAATATATAATGTGTGCTAGGTAACATGCCAAGCACTGATGAATAATGCACCACCTGCCTCCAGGATATTACAGCCTATATTTTACTGGTGCTTATGTATAGGAGCTCACATTTATCACACAATGATGAAGTAAAGCCCCCAGCAGAGATGTGCCCAAGAGACAGAGGGAACACGGCGGGTACTGAAAAGTCAGGGAGGTCTTCCTGAGTTGTCTCTTAGGAACTGAGTGTAGGACCAAGAGATTAACAGAGGAAGACAGAGGAGAGAAGGACACATCTGGCAGAAGGGAGGTCTCGGGCAAAATCACAGAACAGCCAGACAAGTCTGGGGCAGATTCTGGATGATAGGGGCAAAGAGTGTGTAGGAAGCCCTGGAGAGGAGGCTTGGAGAAGTAGTCAGGGTCCAGAACAGAGGGGACCTGAGAGTAAATCAGGAAAAGCATTTAAATTTTATTCTGAAGGCATCAAAGTGAGAGTAAGCTGGTGAACGCCATTGTCATAAAATCCCACAGAGGCAGCAGTGTGGTGGCTGAATCGGGGCTGAGAAATGGGAGTAAAAGGTTCTTACAGTAAACTGAGCAATAGATGCAAAAATCTGACCTGAGCAAGTGGCAGTAAGAACTGAGGAATAAGGGAGGGATGACCGTGTAAAAGGAGGGCAAAGAGAGGTGGCATCCGGGAACATCAGCCTCAGTTTCTGCCCCAAGTAAGTCTGTTTTCCCACTCATACAAAATTGCTCTGTGAATTTTGCTACCTGTTTCAGTTAAATTCAACACGGAAAGGGGAGAAAGTGCTTTCTGGATGAATATCTATTCCTTACAGAACACGAGGTCTCTACTGATCGCTTTGTACACAAATTTCTACTTGGTATCAGAGAGAGAGGCCCTGGGCCCTGGAGGGAGTGTCCCGGGCAGCACCAAGCTCCGTGGAAACTCTTGTTGGAACCATGCGTAAGAAGCAGCACCGAGGACAGTCAGTGCTCCCAGGATCTCAGGTCGAGGATATTATGCATGTTTCTGCCCAGATGCTTTTTAGTGTGGGCACCAATGCAGATCATTGCCTTAAGTGAGGCAAAGAGGATCCTGGTGGTTTTGATTTTACCGCCTTCTTGAAAAATTCTTCCTGTTAATTGACGTGGAACAGCTAAAATTAAAACACATTCCTCAAACCAACTCAACAAGGCTGACCTGGTTTATCATTGACTGGCTGTGTGTCAGTCCCCTGAGTTTAATTTAACCCTGTACCCAGAGATTGGACATGGCCTGCATTTGCAAAGAAGACTGTTTCAGAATGAGTACAGCTGCTCACATGTCCTTGAGGAGCTTATTCCCAAATATCATGAGGCATCTTAGGTGGACAGTTCTGGAGCTGTCTACAGACCACTTTCAGGAGGACTTCCCACACCTGTACACTGTGAGAACTGAGTGAAGATTAGCTGACCTTTGAGGCTGAAGGATTTGTTCTGGAAGCACCAATTTAATTTCTGTTCTGGTTATAAACAGTAGGATTAAAGCATATAGGTGAGGATTCTGACAGGGCATGTGTTTTAAAAACTAATCAACAATGAAGTAGCTTAATTCAACAGTAAATTTCTTTGCAGGAAATATAAACAATGTAAAATCCTTCAAGTAAAACTGTAAGATAGCATATAGATACAGTCTGCATTTGTTAAAGCGTGTTAACTATGCCATTGCATTACCAGCGTAATGCAGTTCCAGTAAAAATTGTACAAGATAATCATAATAAAAGAAAATTACAATACCAGTACTTTCGAAAAGAGAATCTTTTGTGTTGTTAAAGCACAGAAGTTGTTTTCCTAAGGGAGTCTACTGTAGGGAAAGGCAAGGAATAGTGAAGCATTCAGCTGCTGAGTTAGAATTTGCAAGCCAAAACTTATTTGCATCTATTTTCAGAGCAAAGAAGGCAGCCATGAACAATGACTTAAGAGGGGGAAATCATTTAAGATTGTTAGGAATGTATTTGAGTAAACTCGGAGAATGAAAATAAAGCCAGGAGACAAAGTGGGACATATGTAAATGTGCAGATGGTTGACACATGGAAAGCAGTTCTGATATGAAGGCTTATGCGCATAAGCCCAAAAAGCACATTTATAGGAGGCAGCCCAAGTACCAGCTCTACAAAGGACACAAAAGAAGCATTGGATGAGGTCCCTGTACATTTACCATGGAAATGGGAATATAAGACAGGCACAAGCACAAGAGCAGACATACGCTAACCTCCACAGAGTGGCCATTGCGTGTGATCTGAAAACATCCTTGTCCTCTTTTGGAACTGAAATTGCACCATAAGGCAGTTCAAGCAACTCAACAAATGGCTGACAGAGGCATAAGAGGCATGGCTTTAAACTTATTTAAAAATAACTTTTGTGTTTTGTCTTCATTTTCACTTTAAGCAGAACCGGATCACTCCCCCTTACATATATCTCCCTTTGCTTTCTTTAAGTGGAAATGGCAAAGCTGGCTGATTTAGGTGGGTTAAAGGTATAGAATCTCTTGTCAGGTAAGGGCACTGTGATGACTCAGACACAAAGTGATTACAATTGTGGAAAGAGGGGTCTACTAATTTATTTATTTATTTGTTTGTTTTATTTTGTTGTCATTAATCTACATTACATGAAGAACATTATGTTTACTAGGGTCCCTCCTTCACCAAGTTCCCCCCACAAATCCCATTACAGTCACTGTCCATCAGCGTAGTAAGATGCTATAGAATCACTACTTGTCTTCTCTGTGTTGCACAGCCCTCCCCAAGCCCCCACCACATTATACATGCTAATCGTAATACCCCCTTTCTTTTTCCCCACCCTTATCCCTCCCTTCCCTCCCATCCTCCCCAGTCCCTTTCCCTTTGGTAACTGTTAGTCCATTCTTGCATTCTGTGATTCTGCTGCTGTTTTGTTCCTTCAGTTTTTCTTTGTTCTTATACTCCACATGAGTGAAATAATTTGGTATTTGTCTTTCTCCACTTGGCTTATTTCACTGAGTATAATACCCTCTAGCTCCATCCATGTTGTCGCAAATGGTAGGATCTGTTTTTTTCTTATGGCTGAGTAACATTCCATTGTGTATATGTACCACATCCTCTTTATCCATTCATCTACTGATGGACACTTAGATTGCTTCCATTTCTTGGCTATTGTAAATAGTGTTGCGGTAAACAGGGGTGCATCTGTCT